ACAGGTCACATAATGTTGGAGGGCGTAATCCGATATTGAATCTCCAGTGGCTTCTTTTACCTTTCTTGCTTTTTATTATTTATTTGACAGGTCATGCAGTTGACCTGAGAGGGAAGGAAGAAGTAAGGCAAGCTGACAGTCAATCCTCCACGATGCTGGAGTAATCAATGCTGGTCAGGGATCCTTCGGCCGGACGGAAGGAAGCGTGAGTGGGTTTCATGATGTAATGTTTTATCCTGACTTGCCGGTGGAATAGGAACCGGACTGATGCTCCCCAGAATGGAAATGGAGTCGGGGCCATAAGGACCTGTTTTTTTCAAAAAAAAAAAAAAAAAAGAGTAGGCTAAGCTCGCGCAGGTTGGAAAACACTCAAGTAGCGGGTAGGTAGGCAGACGAAGACAAAGAGTCCGATAGGCTTAGAGTCTAGGGGTACCGGTCTAGTCGAGTCTGGGCCGTGCAGAGGGGAATATCAGTCTGCAATGATGTTGCCTCCAATTTGTGGAGGTACCAGTAGACTTGGGAGGCAGCGCGACCTTGAAGCCAACGCGCAAAGAGGCAATACTCCGGTGTATCTTCAGTGGAGGCGAGAGGCTCAGCCTCATTTTGCGTGTGTGCAGCTCGGTCGCACACTGCTGGAGCAACTGCCCAAGCGCGAAAGCGCTGGGTGGAGGAAGAAGGCAGCATGGCCATCCACCTCAGCTATGGTGGGTGAATCCAAGGGGGAAGAGCAGGAGGAGCAGGAAGATGGTGAGCAAGGGGAGAGTGATGGGGGAGGTTACCTGGCTACGGTGGTCTGCATCTTCATCTCCTTGGTTGGCGCTGCACTTGGAAGGCCTCAGTTGGGGTTGGCACTTACAAGGAAGACTCTGGCGCTAGTGCCAGGCATGGCAGCCAAAGTAGGAGGGACACATGAGCTTTGTGTCGTCCTTTGAACATCGGAGTTTCACTCCGATAGTCCACCATAGCCACCTGCTCAACCAAGTAGGAAGTAGGTCTATGAGATGGCTATGGTGGACCTCTTTAGTGGCTGTTATTCTTATTATTATTGTAATGAAGAGTTGTCGGACTAATTGGAGGGTGAAGACGGTAGCGAGATGAACGGGGATTGACATTGGTCTTCGTTGGTGTTCATCTTCTTCTTCTCCTTCTTCCATTCTTATTTCTTCTTCTTCCTTTGTCTATTTCTCTTTCCGAGTTCTTTTGTTTCAGTTGCGATTGGACGATATTGTCTCTTGAATTGTGGCACTGCAAGCTAGCCAGGATCGTAACACCTATATGAGTTTGTGGTGATGCTATTCGGGCTTTGTAATGTGCCCGGTACTTTCCAGCATGCTATGAATAGGATATTCCATGACTATTTGGATAAGTTTATAGTCCTCTATCTCGATGATATTCTTATCTTCAGTAGGACATAGGAGGGGCACGGAGAGCACCTAGATATAGTGTTAGGTCTCCTTCGAAAGCACTGGCACAAGATTAATATAGAGAAGTGTGAGGTTGTTTGTACTAGAATCTTGTGCTTGGGTCATGAGATATCTGAGGAGGGTTTGAGGTGAGAAGATGCGAAGGCGCCATAAGGGGCTGGCATCGACCTCGGTCTGTGACTGAGGTCAGACGGCTCTTGGGGCTAACTGGCTACCACAGGCCGTTTGTCAAGAATTACGACAGTATGGATGCCTGCTTGACCGATCTTACACGCCTAGATAGTAGACACCCCTTGGGAATGGACCGAAAAGTGTGAGTGGGCCTTCAAGCAATTGAAGTCCGCTTTGATGCATCATCCAGTCCTAAAAATTGTGGATCCCAATAAACCATGTATTAGGACCACTGACGCCAATCAGTGTAGGATTCAGTGTTACAGCAGAAAGAGGGGGAGAAGTTGAGGCCACTTGAGTACACGTCCAAGAAGATGCCTTGTCAGAAGCTAGCCAACTCAACATATGAGCGAGAGTTGTATGCACTCTACAATGTCTACATGGCGTTGAAACAGTAGAAGCACTGTCTCCATGGCAGACATTTTGAAATTCGCTCTGACCATTAGACGCTCCAATGGATCAGGACACAGCCCATGCTGTCTGACACGCTTAAAAGGTGGATACAAGTCATAGATATGTATGTCTTCACCCTGAAGCATGCCAAAGGACAGTTGAATGAAGTGGCTGATGCATTGCCGAGGAGGGCAGACTATCTTGGGGTGCTGGTGGATGAGTTTGGATTATCCAGGACTGTATGTTAACAGTTGATGGATGCTTACGACAGCGACAGCATCAGAAGGAGATCATTAGACGCCTCGACTCACAAGATAGAGGTCAGTAAGGACTTTATGATGGTTGGCGGATTGCCGTTCCTTATTTGGGAATAACAGATTGTGTCCCAAACAGTGAGTCTTTGCGCAGTTTACTTTTAGGTGAGTGTCATGACTCATGACGCCTGTGGTCATTTTGGTTTTAAAAAGACATATGCTAATCTGTTGCAGCAAATCTGGTGGCCTACGACATTACAGGACGCTAAGAAGTGTATAAAGACATGCCAGGCTTGTCAGCTCAACAAACCTAGGACTCAGGCACCTCTTGGCTTACTGAAGCCACTGGCCCGGGAGTCTTTGTCCATGGACTTGGACACTCTTGTGAGCAGCAAACAGAGGAATAGGCAGATATGGGTGATTGTTGATAGCTTTTCTAAGTGCGCCAGACTAGTACCGCTACCGGCAATGGCTAAGACAGACCTGGTCATTAGCAAGTTTTCAGATCAGTTGGTAAAGGACACTTGGGCTGCCTAAGACTATAGAAAGCGATAGAGATGTGCGACGCACAAGCGAGCTGTGGCAGAAGGCTGCTCAACAGATAGGATCTGAACTTCATATGACATCTGGGAACCATCCAGAAACTAATGGACAGGCTGAACAAATGAACCGGGTAGTACAACAACTGCTTAGGCATTATATTAAGCCTAATCAGGATGATTGGGATGGCATGTTACCTAGTATGTAGAACAACATTGGGCGCAATGCTACAGATCGCTCTCCAAACCAGCTGCACTTAACATGGAAGCCCAGAACGCCGTTAGACTTTCTACTGCCTGAATCTCAGTCTAATGCAGCACCAGGAAGCTTAGAGTATGGTAGACAGTATTAAACTATGCTGTGGGAAAGAATGCCATGGTAGCTTCTGAGAGTATGGTAGACAGTATTAAACTATGCTGCAGGAAAGAATGCCATGGTAGCTTCTGAGAGCAGACATAGACGGCCAACTAAGTTTCCGATAGGGGGAGAGCCTGGGCTAAGTCTTCTCATTTTACACAATAACAGAATGTCTCCAGAAAACTGCTGCCTGGTCAATCCTGGATATGGTTGGATCCAATCCGGATGGCCCCTCGTACATCATCGCTGTTCCACCTCATTTCCGCACACACCCTGTCTTTTGTGCCTCCAGAGTCCAAACTCCTACTTCCTCAGAATCTGACCAGTTTCCCTCTCGAAGATCAATGCTGCCCCCTACCGTGGACTGATCAGCTCGTTGAGCACCGAGTGATGCCATTTCCCAAGCCAGAGGGCAGAGGAAGACCACTGAATAAACTGCGAATGCAATGTGGGGTGTCCTTCAGACATACACCTGGATTCCGCAGTGGATCGGTGGTTCACGAGAGAAGAACTGATGAAGACAACTCCACAGGTGGATGAAGAATTCTTAGAGGACTTTCAAATGCGAGGGGGAGGGAATGCAAGGATTCAGCACCTAGCCAGGAATAGGCCCTGCCTGTCCTAAGTGAAGGCAGGCCTGCAAAAATGAGGCCGAGCCGAATGTGAGCAGACTAGGGCCCCTGGGTAGTTGCTACACGCATACAGCATCTTGAAGTAACCGGTAGGCCCAGCGCACGAGTTAGTTGAGGATGCTGGGCCTAGTGCAGATTCTGGAAGGGCCCAGGGCGCATTCAACTGGGACTGGGCGAAGCCTGGCCAGAGGCTGCTTGGCCTCTCCAGCCAGCACAAAAAACTGGAGGACGCAGCATTCGACACATTCGACCATTGTGCCAATGCGGCACCGCTGTGCCCGAGGAGGAAGCTGCACGGTTAGAGCAAGGAAGGAGAAGGGGAGAGCCGCTGCCATAGCAGGGGTAGTTTTTGTATCGGAGGTCCTTGATGCAAGGAGAACATGGGAGAGAAGGAAGAGAGGCAGTGTGACGAGGCACGTACCTGGTGGTGACGAAGGCAGGCTGTTCGATCAGAGTCTTCAAGGGGCATTTGGATGATGACGTGTGTTGTTGTATTGGTTTGGAGGCATTAGAGACTTAGTGCTTTGCTCGTTCCTATTTGGTATGAAACTGGCTTTGATTTCTGCTCTTAATTTCAGTTCAATAATGCTGATGGCATTGCTTACTTCGACAATTGTTTCATGTATACAATTTCAGTGCATTGCTTCCTATCTGGTAGAAACTTCATCCTTGTTTCAGGTATACAAAATTTGCAACTGCTCCTTCGACAATGAGGAGCCCTTGCCTCAGTTTGGTTCATTGGTGAAATCGAGTCCCTCCTTGCTTGGCCATAAGGCAAGTAGAAGACGGTCCAGAGACAGCCAGCCGGCTGCTGATTACCAAAACTGGTAGCTGGCCTGCTTTTTTTATCGACAGTGATGGATGAAACTGAGGAGCTCCTTCCTTTGTCCTCAGGCTGGTGGAACCTGTCCAACGAATGAACAAGTTATATGAGGCGCAAACTCACCAACCAACCTATGTTTGTCCCAAAGTTTGAAATTGCTCTGCTTTTGCAGCAGTTCCACACTTGCCAGTTTGGACCGACCCATAAATCAGACTGAGAAATTGTGTGTTCACTGTGCAAAAGTCTGCGTGTGGAATCCTTTTGGCGGGTCTGCTTGGGTTGCTTGGTGGTGGTTTTGTGTCTGTCACAATGAACTTTGGCGATGGACGAATCGATGGACTTGCCCACTCTCAACCATTGAGCTTGTCATCAAGAGCTGATTTCTTCCTCCTCCTACGACCAGCAGTTCTCTAGTTCAGATCGAGATCTTGTGACCGGCAAGTATTGGGATACCAACAGTGCAAAGTCTCCAGTCTCCTCTGACCTGAGCAAGTACCGTAGCTCTACCAGATCTGCTTCAGCAGGCCAGCATTGGGATGTGCGTGTGCGATCTTCTGCCCATTCTCACCCCTCCAAGCACGCTGTCTCTCCTGGACCTCCTGTGGTGGGCGAGCATCCAAATGCTGCCAGGAACCTGACTGCTGATGCCTCTCCTCCGGCAGGCGGCAAGTATTCAGATGTTGGCACCCGATCTCCACTCTATTCCGACCCAGGCAAACATTCTAGATCTACAAGATATTTTGCAGGCAAGTCTTGGGATGATGCCGGACGATCACCAATCTTTTCTGACCATACAAATTACCACCGCTCTGCACGGCATCCTGTTTTAGGCAAGTATTCACATGCTGGTGTAAGATCTCCAGACCGTTCATACCCAAGGAAGAATGTCAGCTCTGATAGATCTGTAGGGAACAAGAATTGGGGCTCTCCTGGACGATCACCTGTGTTCTCGCTGCCTAGCAAGTACATAACCTCCGGTAGGTCTCGTGTTGCAGGCAACTATTTTCATGCTGGGTCACGGTCGCCAGTCTATCAGAGCCCTACAAAGCACACTACCTCTCCTAGACGTCAAATTGTCACCAGCCATCCTGACCTGCAACATCCAGTCCATCCTGAACATGGAAAGTACCCTGGCACAGTTGGATATCCTGTAGCAGGCAGGTATCTTGATGCTGCTGGGCGATCACCAATCAATGCCACCAATAAACCACCTGCAGCCACTGAGCACGGTGTAGAAGCTACAGTCTCCACCAACCATGTCAGTGACCATAGCTCCACTGGACATCTTGAAACGTCTAGCACTCATGTGCGATCTCCAGTCTCTTCTGACGCTGGCAAGGACGTGAGCTCTACTGAATCTCCTGAGGTCTTTGATGACTTAGCTGCTAGTCTCTCCAAGCAAAATCATCTCGAGTCTAGGAAGCAATTGGCCTCTGCTCCTCTCACAAGCAAGCATTCTGGTGCTAGACCACAAGTCACTGTCGGTTCTGGCCCTGGTAAACGCTCTAAAACTGCTGGAACTCCAGTGGAAGGCAAGTTTTCAGATCCTGCTGTGCCGTCTTCACTCAACCCTCACCCGGGTAAGCACTCTAAATCTGCTGAAGCTTCCAAAGCAGGTAAGCATGCCGATCAAGGAGGTGTCTCTGTTGACCCAGACAGGTACAATAGCTCTGATCCAGTCTCTTCAGACCCTAACAAGGACGTGAACTCTGCTGAATCTTCTGAGGTCTTTGACCACTTAGATGCTAGTCTCTCCAAGCAAAATTCTCTTGAGTCTAGGAAGCACTTGGCCTCTGCTCCTCTCACTAGCAAGCATTCTGGTGCTAGACCACAAGTCACTGTCGGTTCTGGCCCTGGTAAACGCCCTAAAACTTCTGGAACTGCAGTGGAAGGCAAGTTTTCAGATCCTGCTGTGCAGTCTTCACTCTATCCTTACCCTGGTAAGCACTCTAAATCTGCTGAAGCTTCTAAAGCAGGTAAGCATGCCGATCAAGGAGGCGTCTCTGTTGACCCAGACAGGTACAATAGCTCTGATCCAGTCTCTTCAGACCCTAACAAGGACGTGAACTCTGCTGAATCTTCTGAGGTCTTTGACCACTTAGATGCTAGTCTCTCCAAGCAAAATCCTCTCGAGTCTAGAAAGCATTTGGCCTCTGCCCCTCTTGCAAGCAAGCATTCTGGAGCTAGATCACAAGTTACTGTCGGTTCTGGCCCTGGTAAACGCCCTAAAACTGCTGAAAGTCCGGTGGCAGGCAAGTTTTCAGATCCTGCTGTGCAGTCTTCACTCTATCCTTACCCTGGTAAGCACTCTAAATCCGCTGAAACTTCCAAAGCAGGTAAGCATGCCCATCAAGCAGGTGTCTCTGCTGACTCAGACAGGTACGATAGCTCTGATCCAGTCTCTTCCGACCCTAGCAAGGACGTGAACTCTGCTGAATCTTCTGAGGTCTTTGACGACTTAGATGCTAGTCTCTCCAAGAAAAATCCTCTTAAGTCTAGGAAGCATTTAGCCTCTGCTCCTCTCACAAGCAAGCATTCTGGGGCTAGATCACAAGTTACTGTCGGTTCTGGCCCTGGTAAACGCCCGAAAACTGCTGAAACTCCAGTGGAAGGCAAGCTGTCAGATCCTGCAGTGCAGTCTCCACTCCATCCTTACCCTGGTAAGCACTCGAAATCTGCTGAAACTTCCAAAGCTGGTAAGCATGCCGATCAAGCAGGTGTCTCTGCTGACCCAGACAGGTACAATAGCTCTGATAAACCCGCTCCCACAGGCAAGCATTCGGGCCCTGGTGTGCCATCTGGAGTTTCTACCACTGTAGAAGGTGGTCCACCTCCTTTAGGCCAGCATTCACATCCTGGTCCACCTCCTTTAGGAGCTGGTGTAGGATCTGTCGCCTCTTCTGACTCCAGAAAGAACATAAGCTCTGCTTCAACTCAGGTGAAAGGCAAGGTTTCAAATGCTGGGAAGCAGTCTGCTGTCTCTTCTGACTCTGGCACCCCCCATAGCTCTGACAAACGTCCTCTTTCAGACAAGCATGCGTATCATGGCGTGCAATCCCGAGTGGATGCCGATAGGGCAGGCAAGGATGCACATGCTGGCCAGGGTTCCTCCGCACGTCCTGACCTGGATGCTTCCCTAAGCTCTGATAAACCGTCTCCTGTAGGCAAGCATTTGGATCTTGATGCACAGTCCCAAGTTGATGCTACACGTAGACCTCCCGTACGAGGTGTCTCTGCTGACCCAGCAAGGTACCATCACTCTGATAAACCATCTATCAAAGGCAAGCATTTGGATCCCGATGTCTCATCTGGAGTTGCTGCCAGGGTCAAAGGTATTGCAGGTATTGCACATTCTGTAGGCAAGCATTCACATCCTGACTCACCTCCTGTAGAAGGTGGCCCACAATCTTCATTCTCACCTCACGCGGGAAGGAATTTAAGCTCTGCTCCAGCTCGTGTGGAAGGCAAGGATTCAAGTTCTGGCAAGGAATCTTCTGCCCCTTCTGACCCTGGCTCCGTCCATAGCTCTAATAGACATCCTCTTGCAGGCAAGCATTCAGATCCCGCAGTGCAATCCCAAGTTGATGCTGGTGAGACTGAAGGTACAGGAAAGGTTGCACATGTTGGCCAGGGATTGTCTTCTCATCCTGAGCCGGACACCAAGAAGCCTTCTCCTGTAGGAAAGCATTCGGATCTTGACGTGCAATCTCAAATTGATGCTTCAGGTAAACCTCCTGTAACAGGTGTCTCTTCCGGCACACAGAAGCATTTAGGTCAACCTCTGTACCATAGCTCTGATAAACCTTCTCCCGAAGGCAAGCTTTATGGTCCTGGCGTGCCATCTGGAGCTCCTACCAGCGCAGAGGAAGGGTCGCCTCCTTTAGCAGGCATCTCTGCCAGGCCGGACCGGTACCGTAGCCCTGATAACCTTTCTCCCACAGGCACGCATTCACACTCTGGTGTGCTATCTCGAGTTGCTACCAGTGCAGAAGGTGGTCCACGTCCTGTAGGCAAGCATTCAGATCCTCGTCCAGAAGGTGGTGTTCGATCTGCAGTCCCCTCTGACTCCAGAAAGAACAAAAGCTCTGCTGCACCTCGTCTGGAAGGCAAGGATTTAAATGCTGGCAAGCAAGCTGCTGTCTCTTCTGACTCTGACACCCTTCAGATCTCTCCTCGTCCAGACAAGTGTTCAGATCCTGTGGTGCAGCTTCAAGTCAATGGTGGAGGGCCTTCAGTTGCAAAGAGGGACTCAATTGTTGGCGAGGGATCCTCTCTCGGGCCTGCCCCAGACTCTGCTAAATCTTCTCCTGCAGTTAAGCATTCAGATCGTGATGTGCGACCTCAAGTTGATGCCACGGGTAAACCTCCTGTAGCAGGTGGCTCTACTGATCCAGACAGGTACCATATCTCTGATAAACCTTCTCCTGCAGGCAAGCATTCAGATCTTGGCGTGCCATCTGAGGTTCCTTCCAGTGTAGAAGCTGGTCCGCTTCCTGTAGGCAAGCATTTGGATCTTGGTCGATCTGCGGTACAAGGTGGATCACAATCTGTGGTATCGTCTGACAGCAGCACCCTCCATAGCTCTCATACATCTCCTCTTGGCAGCAAGCATTCGTATCCTGTTGTGCAATCTCAAGTTGATGCCACTGGGTCTCCAGTTGCAGGGAACGAAGCAGAGTTCGTCCAGGGATCGTCATTCTCTTCTGACCCGAGCACCCTCCATAGCTCTCATAAATCTCCTCGTGACGGCAAGCGTTCGGATCCTGTTGTGCAATCTCGAGCTGATACCACTGTGTCTCCAGTTGCAGGGAAGGTATCAGAGTTTGGCCAGGGATCGTCTGTCTGGCCTGACCCGGACACGCACCATAGTTCTGATAAACCATCCACAGCCAAGCATTCAAATCCTGGTGTGCAATCTCATGTTGATGCCACAGGTAAACCTCCTGTAGCAGGTGTCTCTGCCGACCCAAGACACCGTAGCTCTGGTAAGTCTGCCCCTGCAGGCAAGCGGTCTGATCCTGGTCTGCGATCTGGAGTTCATTTGGGAAAGCATTTGGATGCTCGTCCAGCTACTGCAGCAGGTGGTGGACAACCTGCAGTCCTTTCTGGCAAGAACATAAGCACTGCTGCCACTCATCAGAAAGGGAAACATTCAAAGGCTGGCAAGCGGTCTGCTGTCTCATCTGACCCTGCAACCTCCCTTAGCTCTGATAAACCTCGACTTCCCGGCAAGCATTTGGGTCCTGCTTCGCAATCTCCAGTAGATGCCAGCGGGCCTCCGTATTCACACTCTGGCCAGGGATCCTCTGATCCAGCTAAAGACCTAAACTCTGCTGAACCACCTGTGCTCAGGAAAGATTCAGAAGCAGGGCAGCAATCCCCTTTGCATGCTGAGCCTGCCACGTACGCTACATCCAATGAAATTCGTGTGGCGGATAGAAGTTCAGACGTTGCTCTGCAATCTCCAGTCCATGACCGTTCTAGATCTCCTGTGACAGACAAGTTTTCAAGTACTGGTTCACAATCTCAAGTGTATGGTGACCAGTACAAGGACGTAAGCTCTGCTGGTGCTGGACCTTTTGTGGCAGGCAACGATTCAGATGCCGCTTCGCAATCTCTAGCCTTTGTGAATACCATACCTCCTGTGGTGGGTGAGCATTCAAATGCTGGCATACAGTATCACGTCTATTCCACTGTGGGCAAGACTTTGAACTCTGCTTCACCAGCTGTTGAGGGCAGGAATTTGGATGCCAGTGGCCGCCCTCCAGTCGATTCTGCTGGAGCTCGCGGAGCAGGCAAGCATTCAGATCCTGGCAAGGGATCTTCAGTTGATTTGAAGCATGGCAGGTACCCTAGCTCCCTAGCACCTCCCACAGGTGGTGGTGAACATCCACATGCAGAAGTAGAAACCAACCATAGACCTTCAGTAACAGGTGAGGGTTCAGATTCTGGATCACGATCTCCAGTCTACTCCAACTCAAGCAAGGACCTGAGTTCTGCAGCAGCCCCTGGTGCCGGCAAGAACTCGGGTACTGGCGTGCAGTTACCAGTCCATCCACCCACCCCTGGGGAGTATTTTAGTTCTTCTACCCCTCCTGTCACAGACAAGCACTCAAACACCGGCCTGCAATTTGCACCTCACACCCTATCTCAGGTCTCCTCTGACCCAAACAAGGAGTGGAGATCACCCACACCTTCTGTGGTAGGTCACTACAGTCCCTCTCTAGAATCCCCTGCGTCAGGCCGATATTTAGAGGCTGGCTTGTCATCTCCAGTTCACTTATCTGATCTGAGTGACTCTCCGAGCTCTGCCAGGCCTCTTGTTGCTGGCGAGTACCTGACTCCCGACTCGCAATCCCAAGTCGATTCCAACCCAACATCGCCAAATTCTTCAGGACCTCTTGTGGTGAGAAACTATTTGGAAAATGGCGCTCAACATCCAGTTCATCCCATCCCTGTAGCACAGGTGAATCCGGTGATAAGTGTGCATTTGGATGCCGGTTTGCCATCCCTAGTTTATTCTGATCCTAGTAAGTACTTCAGTTTTGTTGGACCTCCGAGAGCAGACAAGTATTGGGACTCCAGCTTGCCTCGTGCAGTCCAGTCCAATCCTGATCTAACGAATAAAGGTTTTCCATTTCAGAGGCGCCACTCATATCCTCAAACGCGCCATTCCTACCCTTCGAAGAACCCCTTGTATCTTTACCTGGGCCGGCACTCATACCCCACCCTTCTAGCACAATATACCGTGCGTGGGCGGTCATCACTTCACGACATTCATCCTTATCATCAGTCCCAAACCCAGGTGGCAGGAGCAACGCCACCAAACAAGGGGCAGAAGAAGTGGAAGCTTGAACCAACAGTCATGAGCAACAAAGCAGGGCAAGGAAAGCTTAAGGGAATGAAGCGCATGCCTTTGACTATCGATGTGGGAAATGCCAATGATGATGGAGGCAACTCTGCATCATCTCCGCTACCGTACAAAACCAGTGTCCGTTCAACTGGCCCAAAGAAAAGAGCCGCTCAAGGTGGTGGAATGGGGTCACCTGAGTCTGGAGGTGGTCCTGGTCCTCCTTCAGGGACTGGGAAGAATAGCCAATGGGGAATGACAGCATCAGGGTACCCACGGCACCATTTGAAGCCTTTGCGATCTCCTGAATTGAACCAAGATGGCATGCAGAAAGGCCAAGAAGATCGCTTGCGTATTCGTCGGGCCATACGAGAAGCTATTTGGCTGGGTGATACCAAGGACAGGACGGAGATGATGCAGAAACTCCTACAGGACAAGAAAACGGGGTCTGCTGAAATTGAGGAGTGGCTTGAAGAGATGGAAGCATACGCTTGGTCCCCAGGCAAAGGTAAAGATGACACTAGCAAGGGTTTTAAAGGGGTACAGGGAGGAGGAGGAGGGAAGGAATATGCCAAGCTTGGAGAAGAGCTCCTTGAGCAAGCTCGAACTTTCTTGCGGTATGGTTTCTTCTTTGTCGCCGTGCGGTCACTTGCATCTAGGATGGATCTCATGGATGAGGTGCTGATCACTCTGAAGAACATTGTTCTGTCAGCCAAGGATGCAACAATGGCTGCGTCTGAAGGTAAGAAAGGAGAGAACTCGGCGGCAAACCAAGCCACATCTGACAAAGGTAACATTCAGGCAGGGACCAATGAACTGTTGTGGAAGTGGAACAGTATCGATCGTCTAATATTTGTCAACCACTTTTCCGACCTGGATATCATCAAACAGTTTGTCACGATGAGGGAAAGGCTAAAAGAGCGAGGGTTGGTAACCCCCGCAGACCAGGCCAGGGTGGAGAAGCAAATGATGCTTAAAATGGTTGATGATTTTCGGGAGCAGATCATCAACGCAGATGATTCCGCTGCCAGTAAGAGTCTTCAGGATGCTCAGCAGCAGGGAGGGAATGCCATGACTAATTTGCCTACTTTGCAGGGGAATGTGATCCCTGGAGGGGATGTAGAATATTACCAGGATATTGATGGACGCATAGTGTGCTATCATCACTTTGGATCCCGACCTGGACCCCCCGCGTTTGAACTTCCTGCCAAGAAAACCGGCGCTGGAAGCAAGAAGAAGAGAAAGGAAGGAGCTGGAAAAATCCAGGCACAATCCAGCCAGGAGGCATTAAATGATGAGCAGCCAAAAGGGAAAAAAGGCCGCGGGAGAGGGAGATCAAAGGGACGTGGGAGATCGAAAGGGCGTGGGAGATCAAAGGGACGAGGCAGATCGAAGGGGCGAGGGAAGAAGGGTGCAAAAGAGAACCAGTCTCCCGAGGGAGATTTAGTGGAGGCAATGGCAGTCCCCACGAAGATTGCTGTTTGGTCAGAAGTTGGGGGAGGTGTCAGTCCAATGAGCAGCCCAGAGGGAGGTAAGTCGAAAAGGAAGTCGAAAGGGAGGAAGAAGAAGCAGCGGGGCCGTACCCCCAAGGGTGGACAGTCTCCATCTTCGGCCGAAGAGGCTGGAGGGTACAGTAGTGAGGTAGGTAGTGAAGGTGAAGAACTCAAGGGAAGATCGCGGTCAAAGACAAAGAAGCGTGGGGAAAAAAAAGGAGGAAAGACACCAAGAGGTGGGAAGCTTCCTGAGATAGGCAGAGGAAGGAGCAAGGGAAGATCCACATCTCTTGCCTCGCCCAGTGCCAAGGAGGGGGGCAAAGCACGCAAGTCGAGGAGTGCAAGCAGGAAATCACGCAAAGGTAAGGGTGACAAAGGAGGGAAGGATGCCCCGGACTCTGCAAGTTCACCCAAGAAGAAGAAGAAGAAGAAGAAGCAGAGGGGATTGGGAAGTGATGGGGCCGAGTCTGCTGTCGAGAGTGCAGGAACAAAAACACCACGGAAGAAAAAGAAAAAGAAGGGGCAAGGGACAAAAACACCAAGGACATCAAAGAAGGTCGCTATAGCATCAGAAAGTTCAGGCGACTTGAAAAAACTGAAAAAGGGACAGAGAAGACGGAACACTCCTTGGTTATCTGACTCTGAAAGTGAAAATGACGCTATTCAAAAGGCAAAGGGCAAGAAGAAGAAGGGACTGAAAGCCATTAAGGAGGACAAGGCGCAGCCTGCTATTGATCTGTTGACATACTTGAACATGCAGTTCCCCCAGGGTTTTGCAGGCAATACTCCTGCTGTCATTGCCGCATTCAAAAATTACATCCAGACTTATGGTGCTCTTAAGGACATTGCTGCCTCCAGACCAGGAACAGCCACACCGCGACTTACTGCACGGTACCTTGCTAGCATTGACCTCAACACTGCTATTGGCTGGAGTTCTTTGCTGAACGCGCTGCAGACAATTGACCAGCGCAGGAAGGCCGCACAAGGGGAACACACACCAGGTGGGAGTGTCATTCCTCCAGGCACACCTGAAGGGGCTATCAGTCTCACGGCCCTAATTGCACAACTGTCAGCATGGAAGGCCCATATCATGCGCAGTCAGTCGTCGTCACCTGTGCCAGGTGCTCAGGGGTCAACAACCCCAAAGCCGGTAAGCAATCAACCTTCAGCCAGGACACCTAGCAGACTTGCTGAAGGGAAGGTGGGAGGAGATGATGCACCAACTGATGAGGAGATTAGAGACTACGCCAAGTACTTGGGCATGGAACTACCTGTAGATGAGGATCTCCTCTACATCGCAGAGTGGGCGCTGTCAGCCGAAATCCCAGGTAAGACCATCCAACTATGGACATAAACATCTCCCCATTTCCTTAAGGCTTAAACCTATCGATGGATTTTTCTGCCGAAAAATATTCCTCTAAATTCGATGAAAGCTAAGCCCCAAGCATTGTATACTCCTCTCAGCACAACGAAAACTAAGATTGAGTTGAATTCAAACTCGTCTTCTTGTCACTTTGTCATGCCTGCAAACAGCGGTACAGCAACTGGCGACATGCGCCCACACAGTATTCAAGATATCGTAACCAGATATGAGTTCTCTTCAACTGGCTACGGCGACTGGGCGCCCACACAACTCACTGTTCGCACTCTGGATCACCCTGGATGTCCCACACGCAACACTCAGTATCATAGCTGCCTCTACCCTATCGCTACACTACACTTCTCTGCCCACTTCGTCTTCGGGCGCATTGCAGACCGCCTCGCACAAGCTGCTAAGGCAGCGCTTCCGCCTGGCATCCGCAGGAATGAATGACTGAATGGACGCAGCCTCTTGATTTATACTTCTGTGCTGCATTGGTCTGCCCTGTGTCCCTGGCCCATGGTGCACACAGTTCCCCCCGTGGTACTTGCTGGACCGGACTGGTACTTTCTAGACTCTCCCTTGACTGTATGACGACGACCCTACGACGCAGTGCAATTGCACCGGGGTCCTACTATTTGACCTTGCCACTTGTCCTCATCTCCAACATGGGCTTGCTTTAGTCACACCACTTGCCCACTTGCCTGCACCACTTGACCACTTGCCTGCACCACTTGACCACCACTTGTCCACTTGCCAAACTTCTAGAAGGACTGCAGCTAGCCTTCTAGTCTATAGGTCTACGGATCGAATCCTGGCTACCTATAGACCTACGACAGACCTACCTACCACTGGCGGTTCTACAGGTCGCAGGKTCAACTCTTCGAGTTGATGCAGGTATTGTACACAGGTAAGTTGGGGAACTAGGGATCGAGCCCTGGGATCTACCTCAGCTACCACGAATTGGTGAATACCGTTTCAGAGTAAAGCTTATTAGATTAAATGTTGTAGTTGTTCTGCTCTCCTTGGTCCATGGCCTCGCTTTTGATCACCCCTTGGGGGGGTGGGGGGGGGTGGGGGAAAGAAAGGGAGAAAGAAGGTTGGAGGAGAGGATGCGCCAACTGGTCATCTTCTCTATCTATCTACATACTACTAAAGGAAAAGCCGGGTCTCGCGTGACGCCCCTGCGAGACCCGGCTGCCAATCTTGGGAAAATGTTGGGGACAGGGGGGTCGGGCCGAAGGGAACCTGCATGTGAGTTCGGCACAGCGTCGCGTGTTCGAATACAAGTACATACATAGTACAGAGGCTTTCATCGGGTTACTTAGTTTTCAGAGGTCCCGTGATTCCATTTTCAGTTCCAGTAGTACCATGATTTGGTTTTCAGCTGCACAGCTGGCAGGGGCGTTTACTTCGTTCCTTTTTTTTTTGGCGCCGCGTCCAGTTTGTCCTTAGGGCCCTCCTCCACTACTCTGCAAAATGAGACTGAATCTTGCACTGTAACATGGAAAGATACAGCGCCGTTTCATGTGGTTTCTTTTTTTTTCACGTGGCTTCTTTTTTTTCTGTCGTTTGGGCCTTCGGTCCACGACCCTCCACATGCACAAGTTAATTTTGGTGATGTATCTTTCCATGTTCTAGAGGAGGATTCGTTTCTTTTTCTTGCCCTTTTCTTGGCCAGTAGCGGGCGCCAGGGCTTTTTCTGCACGACTCTCCACATGCACAAAAGACGTGCATCTTTCCACGTTCTCCATGTTTTTTTTTTTTTTTTTTTGTGGAAAGCATTAACAATTTATTACAAAACATTGGGACGAGGCCGGGGACCTCACAATTCAACCCAGAGTTATCCTGGCAGCCTCAGCCAGTTTTGCTTATGAGCCAAGCTCGACAACCAAACTAACTGCTCCATTTGTAACAATCCTCCTGCTGGAAACCGGGTCCAGCGTCGCATTATTAACCACTTTCCAAAAGTAAACTCTAACGCACAGAGTAAAGGTGAGCTATCTGATGAAGACTAGCTCTTAGATTCTGAGAGCACCTGCTGTACCCTGAGGCAGACCCTTGGGAGGCAGCTGCACCCTGAAACTATTGTCACTCCTCCAGGCAGTCTGCACGCCAGTCCGCTAATCTTAAATTTTAGACTTTGAAGCACAACCCAAATGGTCCTGAACAGTCTGAGTACTAACCCCAGGCCAACTGCGACCTGCGTCAATGTAAGTATACTGTGTGTGGTCTCTGAAGGCCTAGCTCGGCCCTTCTGCACCATCCTTAACCAGGGCACCCTGCAGTCTGGTTTATAACAACCATTCTGCTAGTATCAGTTCCCTTCTGGTGAGAGCTTTGCAAAATGCTCCTGCATGGCCCAAGTCTTGGCAAACCAAATCACTCCTTTACGCCTCCTATCTAATGTGATTACCAATCTAAGATTATGTTTAATAGTATTAAAGGTCTGTTGATATGATATTGTTTCCCCCCGGAAAACTTTTGCATTTCTCATTCCCCACAGTGCTTCCATAACTATTCCTCTGCAGACCAGAGCCATGTACCATATTCCTGAGGAGTACCCCCCTGTTGTCGGTATTAACCCATGTAGTATGAACCTTTTTGTCCAAGCCTCATCCGCTGTCCTCAATCCCCTCCATCTCTCCTTCCACCATTCCCACACCGTGTCTGACAGCGGGCAGAAAAGCCACAGGTGGGCACTGTTTTCCCACCCCCAGTGACATCTTGTACATGTAGATGACAGATTCATACCTTTAGAGATTAGCCATGTTGTAGTTGCCGATACCTGTAGGGACTGTAGCCACCCACATCAGGGTTGCCTGCTTTTGAGAAGGAATTTTTTTCAAGGCTTTCCATAGCTTAAATAGCTCCTCCTCTTGGACTGAAGACAGTCCAGGTATATCAGTCTTCTCATAGCGGTGATGATTGGCTTTTTTGGTACTCTTGCCCGCTGGATCGTTGTCCCAATTTTTGCCTTGTATTGGCATGCAGGGACTGTGTCTTGTGCCCCTGGAGGGGACCAGCCCAAAATTAGAGGTTCTGCGTTGCCCAGGGCAACAGTCTCCTGTAGGATCATCGCCTTTCTCCTGATGATTCCTTTTTGTTCCCATACTCGAATTTCCTGTGTCCCCAAAGTTGTGGCCACCGTCTCCTCCCCTACATACTCTAGTGTTGCCCCTTCCTTTCCTCTTTTTCCCCATGTCTGCACCTTGATCCCGGCGTTTAGCTCCGGGCCTATAACGTTCCAGACGATTTGTCCGTCTCCTTCCGGTATTAAACAAGTGCCCGGGTTGTACTCGCTGTCGTTTCGGAGGGCTGAAGTCCAGTGCCGAAGGGTTGCTGATCTGACTTGGGCATAGTTTTCTTCCACCTTCCTTAGCCTGGGCAGTTTCCGTCTGAGGGAGTCACAAGGGAGCCAGTCTCCGTTCTTAACATCCCACACGTCTTTTATTTGAATTACCCCTTTCTCAACCCAGGCTCTCCCAAAGGATTCTGGGCTCCCGTCCGCCTTAAGGGTTTCCCCCCCACACCTGAACTATCCATTTATCTGGTTCAGTATTTCTATCTTGGACACCGGTTCTCTTAGATATTCCAGTTTAACTTTTTTCCAAGCCTGCAGGATGCTCTTCCACATTCTTGACTTTGGTCTCTTCTGACAGTAAGAATCCATGCACAGACATAGCCACACATGTCCTTGCTCCTGTAGATCCCACTCCTTCTACAGAATATATTCTGCCATCTGAATCCACAGTTTCCCTTTAGGACCGAAGATTGCCTGTGTTGGCCATTTGGCCAACAGCGCGATGTTTTGTTGCATGGGGTCCAGGATGCCTAACCCCCCTTGATCTCTCGGACACGCTATCGTCTCCCACGCTATTTTCACCATATAGCCCTCCTCCTCTTTTGCGTGGGGCTGCCAGATATACTTAGCACCAGTTCTCTGGATTGCCCTATATGTCGCGTCTCCCAGAAGGTGTACTGTCAGGGGAAACCAAAGAGTGGAGAAAGCCGCCGGAGACAGCACTAGCACCCTTCCAAATAGGGATAGCCGGAAATTTCTGGCCCACCCCTGAACCTTGGCTGTTACTTTATCTTTTAGGATGGTATCCTGTGTCTTTGAGCAATCCGAAAATGACAGCTGAACTCCCAAAAACCAGTTGGAGGCGTCGGCTGGGATGGGCCTGAGGGCCCAATCTACGCTTATGGTAAACAGTGGGGGGAGAAAAAACACGGACTTGTCCCAGTTAATTGATGCTTCCGACAGGTTGCAGTAGTTTTCCAATACCTTTCTCAGTTCATTTAGGGAGGAAGGCTCATTCATACATGCCACTGTCAAGTCGTCAGCAATGGCTCCGCCCTTCCAATGGATATTCCGGGAGAGGTTCAGACCAATTATCCTATCATTCACCCTTATGTTTATAAGTAATACTTCTAACTGTACCACGAATAGCAACGAGGCTAGCGGACATCCTTGCCTTAGTGATCTAGTCAGGGGGAAGGGAGCTGGCAGATGGCCGTTCACCATAACCGTAGACGTGGCCTCAACATACATTGCTCTAGCCCACCTACATAATCCTCGCCCAAAACCCATCTTTGAAAAGGTGGTGGAGACAAATGCCCACCCCACCTTGTCATAAGCTTTTTCCATATCCAACAGCAAGATCGCCACGTCTCTCTTTCCTCTCCCTATAACCTCTAGCGCCTGAACAGTGGCCATAATATTGTCAAATATGGATCTGCCCTTGACAAAGGCCCCTTGTTCCCATCCTACTAAGTCGGGTAGGAAGTGGGATAGTCTAATCACGAGTGCTTTAGCTAGTATTTTATAAGCTACGTTTAAAACTGAGATCGGCCTATAATTTTTCACCTCTCTCTTATCCCCCTTTTTGTATATGAGTGAGATTACCCAGTTCAGCCAGCTTTGTGGGAGGTGTCCGGACTCCAGGGCCCCGTTGAAGATCTGACAAAAGAATGGGCCAAAAGAGCCCCACATACTTACAAACAACTCCACCGGTAGGCCGTCTAAGCCTGGACATTTTCCTCTCGCCATTTGTCTAGCCGCCTGGAGTAGTTCTTGAGATGCGAATGGAGCGTCTAGTTCTTGAGATGCCACAAAGTTGTACGAACTTCCCCGAGGCTTAGGGGAATCAGCATCGTCCGCGACCTGGATATAGCGACCTCGATGACTAAAGGAGATAGCACCACTCTGGGGACTTTAATCAGTTGGGTAAACTCAGTCAGGTAAATCTCGACCGTAAGCGTCAATGAGTAGAAAGGATTGTAGGTACCCATTCTCCATGTTTAACATGAGAACAAATTCTCCTGTAGAACATGGAAAGATACATCGCAAACTTTTTTTTGTCTTTTGTGCATGTGGAGCGTCATGGAGCAAAGGCCCAGGCCCCCCTACTGGCCAAATGTCCAAGCGAGAATCAATCCTGTTTTTACTTTTTTTTTTGGGCGGGGGAGGGGGTGGCGGAAGAACGAATCTTCCTGTAGAACAGGGAAAGATACACCGCCAATTTTTTTTTAATTCCTCCCCCCTCTCTGACAGCCTGGAAATGTGATCAGCAGGGCGATGGCCTTTAGATACCATCATTGAACTGACAGGCCCTGTGCAATTCAGAATGATCGTATCTGGACTGGATTCGAACTTGAGTCTGTATTTCAACAGTGCAGGGGTGCACCAACTGAGTTAGGCCCGTTGGTGATTTGTGGTATTTTGCTCATCTGCTTCCAGTGAAGTTCGAACAATGCAGGGGTGTACCAACTGAGGGCCTACTTACACTACGGTAAGCACAATCTTAAATGTGTCGGACCCCATTTACGGGCGGTATTATATGCATATGACCACAGTTCCATCCACAAATAAGTACAAAAATGGACCATTTCTTGATTTATGTGTGTCATCCTTGGATTCCTGGCACAAGGGCCATGCTAATCTTCACTATGAGGACTGGCTGATGCGGTCGGGTTCGGCTGAACATTTTTAATTTTTGTGTGGTTTAACTCTCTTGGTTCAGTATATCGCCAGTGCAGTGACATGGCCCTCCTTCAAGTTTTATCTCATTCCCGCCTTTGGACCGCTGCTTCGCCACGGTGGGTCCGACTTGTACTATTAAAAACTGCAAAGGGCCTGACGTGACGCTTCCCAGAGGGCCCAGGGAAATTTGGTGCCGCACGGCAGTCCCTGTGCTAGGCAAAATTGGTGCCACTCTGCGCGGGACCAGGAGCAAAGCGCACCATTTCGTGTGGGCGTGTGAGGTGCCCGTGCGCGGTGCTGGGAGCCAAGCGCAGCGGTTCATTTTCTGTCAATGCGGTCGCGCGGGGGGGGGGGAACATCCTGCGAACTGTCAGCGAGGTGTCCGTGCACAGCGCCGGGGGCCAGGTGCAGCGGTTCACCTTTTGTGGGGCGTCAGCGGTCGGCATTGTTTTCGTAGTCAGCGGTGAGCACCCCGTTGGTCAGCAGTCAATGTCTAAAGGACAGCGCGGTGGCCGTTGCTCCACAAAGCCGCAGTCTGTGTGGCCCGTGTAGTGAGGGTGAAGATCGTGCGTGTTGGAAGAGGCATGATCGAGGAGAGATGGACGGACGATCGACGGTCCCGGCACAAGGGAACGCGAGGGGTGATGAGGCTGTATTTGCAGACGTGTTGCTCATCCTATCGATGGATTCAGCGTGAGCCCAGCCGCGAGGTTGGAGACTTATCGATGGATTCAGCGTGAGCCCAGCCTCGAGGTTGGAGACTTACCTGATCTCTCTCCTTCTGTGTGTGTGTGTGTATCTCTCTCTCTCTCTCTCACACATTCGGATATAAAGAAAAAAAAAGAGAAAGAGAACAGGGCATCAAAGATAAAGATATAACACAGGTTGACTCCAAAAAAGAAGCACTAGAGGACCTGAGACCAAAGAAATGGAGGACCAAAAAAAAAAAAAAAAAAAAAAAGCAAGTGGCACTGTATATTTCCATGTTCTTGCGGAAGATTCATTCTGATTTCGCTCATCCTATCGATGGAAGTAGCATGGCTGGAAAGCAGTGTATATTTCCATATTCTAGCGGATGATTCATTCCGATTTTGCTCATCCTATCGATGGAAGTAGCCTTTCTAGCCTTTCTCTATGTCTCTGCGTGCATGACTGGAAAACTCTCTCTCTCTCTCTCTCTCTCTCTCTCTCTCTCTCTCTCTCTCTCTCTCTCTCTCTCTC